GGTTTGAAGCTTAGTGGGCTCAGGCAATTTCGATACAGGTTCAGCACAGAAACAGCTCCAAACCTATGGATACTTTTAGAACCCGGTCACTAGAAGGTTCATGGATAGTTATAAGTAGGGNNCTGTAATTATAACCCATATTAGGGAACTTATAACCCCACTTATAACTACCCTAAACCCTATACAGCCCTAAAAGGAACCCATATTAGGGGACTTCTAACCCCATTTAGAACTACCCATGCACCTCCAAGCAGAACGTGTCGAAGCCAGGCCGGCAAGAGGCTTATCACTTCGTTTTTCCCAACCTTCACGGTTTAGGGTTTAGGGTTTTAGGGTTTCGGGTTTAGGCTTTTAGGGTGTAGGGTTTAGGGCTTATGGGGTTTAGGGGGGTTCTTGCAAGTAGGGGGTCGTGATTTTCGAAATGGACACATGTTGAGCTCCTACAGTACCGGGGTCCCCTGTCTTCTGAAGCTCCCAACCCAAAATCAAGAAGCCCATGCCTTAAAAGCCCGGCTAAACTCTTGGTCCTCCAATACCCAACCTTTCAACTTTTTTGGGTTCTTATAACGTAGTAACTCATGATTCCAGGATTCCGTTCCAAAGCCATAAAGCCTGCAAACAGACCCCAGCACGCGGAGCAGCGTCATCACCATTTATCATCTTCACATCGGTTGCTGAACGAGTCAAAAGTTCGTAGACTACTAGTTACCAGTTAACCCTATGCTTCCAAGGACCTTATAGTTAGGGCCCTAGACCCTTTAAGGACCCAATAAGAAGGTCCCGGTAAGCATAGGGTAGTTGTCAAAATGATGGTCCCTTTTGGGGTACCCTAAATAATAGGTGCCGTATTATATTAAGGACCCAAAAAGGGACCATAATTTTGACAACCATCTATATGGTAAGCCTATGCAGGAGCTTTTGGAATACTCGCGAAGGAACACCGCCGTGCAGGGAGGCAAGCAGAGCCCCCAGCTTGAGGGTTGCAGTGTGCAGTTCGAGGGGTTTGTGGGTTTAGGGTTTAGGGTTTCGGGTTTAGGGTTTAGGGTTTAGGGTTTAGCTCAGTTTCGGAACGCGTTGGTCTGAGGATGTATACTTGGAGGCCCAGGAGACTTGGTAAGTCGGTTGAAAAGTAAGGTTCTAATTGGGGTAACTCCAGTTAGGGTACTTATAACTCTACTTATAACCTACTCCCTAAACCCTAAACCCTAAACTCTAGAACCCTAAACCCTAACTATAAAACTTTCAGTCGAGCTTGAGGTTCGATTTCCTGACGCAGATTTCAAAGCCCTGGAAGCTTAAAATCACGAAGCCCAACTCATGCTTAGGCCGTAGAAGGTTTTTGGGGTTTCGGTTGTAGGGCCGTAGGCACGGCAAAGAAAGGAGTAAAGGCTCCCTGAACTCTGAGCACTAAGCAACCCTGCTAATCACTCTACCCATAGACCCTAAAGTAGTTCCTTTTGGGGGTTCATATATAGAATCCTACAAGGTAACCCCCAACAAAGGAACTACTATGGGGCCTATGCGTAGGCCGTAGAAAGAGCATCCGATCCTCGCAAGAATCATCTGACACACAGAGACATAGCCAGATCTGAAGCCTAGACGTTTGGTGTTTATTTTACTTCACATCTGAGGCCCGGAATCACCCAAGGAACACACCAAAGCCTGAAAGCTCGAGTTTGGCTAAGGCGCGTGACCTCCCAGGACGCCGGAGAGGCAAGTCTTGTCGGAGAATTCTGGCTGTTCCGGACTCCGACGGCTGTGTCATCCGTTCATCCTCTCCTGCATGTCTGTGCTACTGTACCAGTCAAACCTTAGGCATATAGAGTCTGGCTGATGTACCGTTTTCGTTTCGATTAGGTCGGATAGTCTTGAAGTCTTGGAGTTCTGACGTCAGTGTCTTCATAGACTTTTTGGATTGAGCTCCGTGCTTAGAATCTTCAGCAGGCTTGGATTTGTGTTTGCAGTGTGAGACTTCGGTGCTGGCATCAAGTCGCCTAGGTCTGCCGGTGTGGTGTAGAGAGGTGCCGACAGGAAGCAACCAGATAATGGAAAGAAGAGAGTCAAAGCAAGTCAAACAGGCACAGAAACAGTAGCAGCTGTAGAAGCACCAGGAACAGCAGCAAGTGTCACGTGATGTGGTGCAAGGGCAGGAAGAATGGTATGGATACAGTTGATGATAAAAATCCTGCATTACCCTTAAGAAGGAATATACCGTAATTCTCATAGCTTAGGATCCTTAAGGTAAGGCAGGATGTATATCTTCAACAGTATGTGTCACTCTCAGAAGCCGTGGTACCGAAGCCCATAAACTTGGCAGGATCCAGAAAGTAGATCCCTTAATGGGGGGTTGCTACAAAGTACCCTTTAGTAATCAGGGTCCCAAATTAGGGCTTAAAGGGGGGTCCTATAAACAATACCCTTTAGCAATTAACGTCCCAAATTAGGGGATCTATCTTTTTGGATCCTCCCGGGGGTTTGGGAACTTCGTTGATGAACGTCTTTCTGAAACCCGAAACCCCTTGGCCTGGGCCTTGAAGGTTGCGAGCCCGACCCTGCCAGAAGAAGCAGAGGGTTTGTGGTTTAGGGTCTAAGGTTTATAATTTAGGGGGTTTAGGGTTTAGGGTTTAGGGTTCAAGGTTTAGGGTTTAGGGAATTTAGGGGGTTTAGGGTTTAGGG